TTTTTTTTTTAAGATTTGAGAGAGCGCATACGCACAAGAGTGGGGGGTTGGGGGGGGCAGAGGGAGAGGAAGTCTTAAGCAGACTCTGCCCTGAGTGTGGAACTCAACTCGGGGCTCAATCCCAGGACCCTGAGATCACCGGCTAAAATCAAGAATCAGGTGCTCCACCGACTGAGCTACCCAGACGCCCAGGAGAATTCTTTAATAATTATGCTGCCAATATTAGTTCAGGGTGGACCGTTGATATTAGATAATCTTTGAACAGAATCTTCTTAGAAAATGTAAGACCCCAACTCTGCCAGTCGATGGTTTTGTAAAACACAACGTGGCACTCTCTTAACTGAACATGGTAGAAGCACTTCTATGAAGCAGAAAACTATTGTTAAAATTACCAGAGGTAGAGAGGATTCAGGTACCAGGGAACAGAACATAGATGTTAAAAGTTGAGGGGGACCACAAAACATCTATTCCTGCTTAGACTGCAGAGTGAGTTTGTGGCAGAACTAGGACAGAACTAAAGAAGCTCTAACGGAGAGGACTGCAGGGGGTTGAGGTGGGGTGGCAGAATCATTAGCAGTTATCCAGAAGGTTCTAGAATGAGAGAGAAAACAAACTTAGCAAGTTTGCCAGACTGGATTTTCAAATATGACAACTAGCTAAGAAGACCAAGTCAACAGATAGGAAGAGACAGAAATGCACGTCATAGCTACCGCTGCAGGTGACATGTGAAGTTACCCTGAGATTTCACCTGAAACACATTCTTAAGCATCCTCTCCGGCAGATGTTTTGTAACAGACCTCTCCCTTTAATCTTTACAACAATCCCGAGAAGGTAAACTCTAGACCCATACTCAGCACTGAGAAAAACTATAGCTCAGAAAGTTTGAGTAACCTTTCCTGAAGTAAGTAGCAGAGCTAAGATTCAAACCCAGGTCTGACTCTGAAGCTTACACATTCTTTCTTCATTAAGCTGCCTCCGAAGGGAGGGATGGAAAGGAAAACCTAGACAATCACAAGATGTGACTAGAAGGTGGTCACCAGTGATCCAGACAAGAGTCGGGACAGCGCAGAGCCAGAGCCCAACCTGTAACTAGCTCGCATCCCGGAGGAGTACAAAGCAGTGGTGGTGGCGGCGAGTGAAGGGAAGAAATGAAGCACTTTAGGGCATTTTTAGGTCCTTTCCAAGAATGTCTTACAGTAGCAACCTGCAGAAGGCTGTGTCTGTAACTACTGGAAATAGCTTGTTAGCAGCTAGAAACTCCCCCCAGAGTTTCAGATGATAAAGAACCTGTTACCCTGTTATTTAACTTATCAGAAGGTGACCTATCAATTTTTTTTTTTGAGAGATGGGGGGGGACCCACAAAGGGAGAGAGGGAGAGTCTTGAGGCTTCACACCCAGCATGGAGCCCAACATGGGGCTCAATCTCACAACCCTGAGATCATGACCTGAGCCACCCAGGCGCCCCACTCAGAATTCTTTTACTCAGATTTCCACTGATGAGTCAAGTCTATACAGCAGACTTCTAGTATGTGTCCGTGGCATTAAGTAGAAGTGGAATGGAGGGCACTAGGATGGGGCGGGAGATGCTGTGGGCTGGCAGCGCATGTGGACAAGAAACCGAAAAATATTAAGGTTAAAATCTCCTTTTCAAGAGTGGTGAAATCACTTCTGAAACACTACTTTTTGATTGGAGAGTATTTCCTTTCTTTGTAAAGATTTTTTTAAAGTTTTAATATACTAGGAATAAAATAGCACAGAAATTTATCTCTGAAAAATTAATCTGAATAAAAATTGTAACCATCTGCACAGATTGTAGTTACTGCATAAAACCATCCCTTTAAATTGTCTTCTTGCTTTTATAGATTTTTGAAAAAAGTGACACTGGCAATAAGAATTTAGAATTCTGGGACATCTGGGTAGCTCAGTTGGTTAAGCGTGTGCCTTCGGCTCAGGTCATGATCCCAGGGTCCTGGGATTGAGCCCTGCATCGGGCTCCCTACTCAGCGGGAAGCCTGCTTCTCCCTCTCCCACTCCCCGTTTGTGTTCCCTCTCTCGCTGTGTCTTTCTCTGTCAAATAAATAAATAAAATATTTAAAAAAAAAAAGAAATATATTTCGTCAGGCTACAACTGCCGTGGATGGTGATTCCTTTGACGGATCTGGGCAAAGTTAATTGAAAACCTTCTGGAAATCACCATTCCCGATGCCATTAAGAACATTCTTGGGGCACCCAGGTGGTTCACAGTTGGTTGAGCGTCCAACTCTTCAGCTCAGGTTTTAACCTCAGGGTCGTGAGTTCAAGCCCCACGTTGCACTACATGCTGGGCATGGAGCCTACTTAAAAAAAAAAAAATTGATCCATGGAAGAGGTCAAAATAGCAATAGGAACAGCAGTTTGGAAGAAGCTGATTTAACCTTCACAGATGACTTTGAGGGGTTCAAGACTTGAGTAAGTGCAGATGTGGTAGAAATAGCAAAAGAATTAGAATTAGAACTGGAGCCTGGAGACATATCTGAATTGTTATAATCTCAGGATAAAACTTTTAACGGATGAGGAGTTGCTCCTTATTGATGAGCAAAGAAAGTGGTTTCTTGAGATGGAATCTACTCCTGGTGAAGATGCCGTGGAAACTGCTGAAATGACAACAAAGAATTTAGAAATTACATAAACTTAGTTGATAAAGCAGCGGCAGGGTTTGAGAGAATTGACTCCAATTTCAAAAGAAATTCTGTGGGTAAAATGCTATCAAACAGCATCAAATGTTACAGAGAAATTGTTCGTGATGAAAGGAGGAGTCAACTGATATAGCGAACTTCATTGTCTTATTTTAAGAACTTGCCCCAGCCACCCCAGCCTTTAGCACCCACCACCCTGATCAGTCAGGAGCCATCAGTTTCAACAGCAAGACCCTCCACCGGCAAAAAGATTACAACTCGCTGAAAGCTCAGATGATGGCTAGTATTTTTTAATTAAGGTATGTACATTTTTTAGATATAATGCTGTTGCACACTTAACAGACTACCGTATAAGCATTTATATGCACAGGGAAACCAGAAAACTCATTTGACTCACGTTATTGCGATGTTCTCTCTGTTACAGTGCTGTGGAGCTGAGCGTGCACCATCTAGAAGGTAGGCCTCGCCATGCTGTACGTCACTTCCCTGTGACTTCTTTTATAACTGGACATTTGTACCTTCTGACTCCCTTTACCCATTTCACCCACCCTCTCCCCACCCTTCACCTTGGACAACCACCAGTCTCTTACTGGTTTTATCTATGAGCGTGGTTTTTGGTTTCTTGTTTTTACATTTCACATACAAGTGAGATCACACAGTATTTGTCTTTCTCTGACTTTGCCCTCAAGGTCTATCCATGTCACAAATGGCAATATTCCGTTCTTTTTTTATGGCTGAATAATACTTCATTGTGTATGTGTGTGTATATACATATGAAAAAATATATACAGAAAATGTATAAAAATATGTGTATATAGGTACACATATTTGTATATACACATGTCTATATACACATATATATTCTTGTAGTTTTATTTTTAAATCTTTGAGGAACCTCCACACCGTTTTCCACAGTGGCTGCACCAGTTTGCTTTCCCGCCAGCACAGCACAAGGGTTCCCTTTTCTCCACATTCTCACCAACACTTGTCTTTCTGATAATAGCCATTGTAACAGGTATAAGGTGATATCTCATTTGTGGTTTTGATTTGCATTTCCCTGATTGGGGATATTGAGCATCTATTCATCTATCTGTTGGCCATCTGTGTATCTTTAGAAAAATGTCTATTCAGATCCCCTGCCTAATTTTTATTTGGGTTTTTAGTTTCTGCTATTGAGTTATAGGAGTTATTATTTTTTTTTAAGATTTTATTTATTTGAGAGCGAGGGCACAAGCAGGGGGAGAAGCAGACTCCATGCTGAACCCTGGGATCATGACCTGAGCCGAATGCAGATGCTTAACTGACTGAGCCACCCAGGCGCCCTGAGTTATAGGAGTTTTTATTTTAAAAAGATTTTTATTTATTTGACAGGGAGAGCACAAGCAGGGGGAGCCACAGGCAGAGGGAGAGGCAAGCAGAGGGAGAGTGAGAAGCAGGCTCCCCGCAGAGCAGGGAGCCCGATGCGGGACTCGATCCCAGGACCCTGAGATCATGACCTGAGCTGAAGGCAGACACTTAACCGACTGAGCCACCCAGGTGCCCCTATAGGAGTTTTTAAATATATTTTGAATATTAACCCCTTAGTAGATACGATTTGCAAATACTTTCTCCCATTCATCAGGTTGCCTTTTCACTTTTTGTTGGTTTCCTTTGCTGTGCAGAAGCTTTTTAGTTTGATAGTCCCGCTTATTCATTTTTGCTTTTGGGGTATGATTCAAAAAATCACCAAGATAGATGGCAAGGAGCTTACTGCCTATTGGTTTCAGGTCTTACATTCAAGTCTTTAATCCATTTTGAGTTAATTTTTGTGGGTGTAAGATAGTGATCTAATTTTCCCAACAGCATTTACTGAAGAGACTGTCTTTTCTCAATTATTTATTCTTGCCTCCTTTGTCATAAATTAACTGACCATACATCCATGGGTTTATTTCTAGGCTCTCTATTCTGTTCTGTTGATCCAGAGCATACTGTTTTGATTAGTAAAGATTTGTAATATAGTTTGAAATTAGGGAGCATGATGCCTCCAGCTTTGTTCTTCTTTCTCAAGGTTATGTTGGCTATTTGGGGTCTTTTAGGGTTCCATACACATTTTAGGATTGTTTTATTTTTTTTTTAAAGATTTTATTTGAGAGAGAGAATGAGAAACAGCACAAGAGGGAAGAGGGTCAGAGGGAGAAGCAGACCCCCCGCTGAGCAGGGAGCCTGATGTGGGACTCGATCCCGGGACTCCAGGATCATGACCTGAGCCGAAGGCAGTCGCTTAACCAACTGAGCCACCCAGGGGCCCCAGGATTGTTTAATTTTTTGTAAGATTTATTTGGTCAGGGGGAGAGGGGCAGAGAGAGAGGAGTCTTAAGCAGACTCCACGCTGAGCACGGAGCCTGAGGCAGTGATCAATCTCATAACCCTGAGATGAAACCAAGAGTTGGTTGCTATTCCCAGGCACCCCTTAGGATTGTTTTAAAATATGCCATTGGAATCTTGAGAGATTGCACTGATTCTCTAAGTTGCTTTGGGTAGTGTGAATATTTTAATATTCTTCCAATCTGTATACATGGAGTAGCTTTCCATTTATTTGTCTTCGTTTTCCTTTGTTAATCTCTGAGAGTTTTCAGTGTACAGGTCTTTCACGTCTTTAAATTTATTCCTGGGTATTTTGTTCTTTCTGATGCCATTGTAAATGGGATTGTTTTCTTAATTTCTCTAGTTTCTTTAGTTTGTTGTGCGTGTACAGAAATGCAAAAGATTGCTGTATACTGATTTTGTGTCCTGTAACTTTACTGAATTAGTACCAACATTTTTTGGTCTTTAGGGTTTTCTATATATAATGCCATGTTATCTGCAAATACTGACAGCTTTACTTCCAGACTTACAGCCTTTTCTTTTTCTTGCCTAATTGCTCTGGCTAGAACTTCTAATACTGTGTTAAATAACTTAAAATTTGACACTAAAAGCAAAGTGGCCCCAAGAAAGAAGTTTAAATGTTGAACACTGAGTTCGTGGACCAACTCCCTTCTTTTTATGGAGCCCCCTGTGGGTAATGGAGGCATCAGAAACAGTTCGAAGTTACTGCTGTGGAACAGAACTCAAAACTTAAGAGGTTCAAACAGTAATCATTTCTCTCATGGTTTCTATGGATTAGGAATGTAGGAAAGGTTCTCCTTGGCAGTTCTGACTCAGGGTATCTGATGCATTTGCAGTTACAGTGGCTAGAGCCAGAGTAGCAGGAGGTTAGAACACTAGGGACTGGCCAGGCATTTCTCTCTGCTTGTCGTTTCAGGGTCTGTGTGGGCTGGTTTGGGCTTCATCACAGAATGTGGCTTCAGGGTGTTTTTTAATGTGGTGACACACGGACTACCAGCCTACATAGCTTGCATGTTCCAACAAACCAGCTGTAAGCTGTGTTGCCTTTTATGATGTAGCTTTGGAAGTCTCATAGCAGTACTTTTGTCATATTAACCAGTCACTTCTTGATCTAGGGAATGTCAGACTTTACTGATCTTTTACAACTGCCACATCTACCCTCAAGAAGCCCATCTGGCATGGGAGGCCAAGACTAGTCCAGATACCACCACCAAGAGAATACCAAAAGGTAAGCTGCCCCAGGTAGAAGCCATGGGACGTCACGGAGGGGAGTAAGGGAAGGCACTGGTGGAGGTGACCTTTGAGCTGATTCTTAAACTGGACTGACATTTTTGAAGTAATAAATGGTTGGTGAACAGTGAGTGATTACTTGATTGCAACCATAAGTGGCTCAAGGGAAGGAGTGAGCAGAGGCCAGAAACGTGAGCCAGATCAAAGAATGCCCAATTAAGCTTTGGCGGGGCGGGGTGGGGGGCGGGCAGGCAGGGAGCACATGGGCAGAAAAGTAATTAAGTTTCCTCTCCCCTCCAGACCTAATTACCATAGGAGAGATGGCAGATTTTCCTTCTTGCCAATACCTACCCTTCTCCTGAGCGGTATTACAGGAGTTTGCATGAGTCTCCAACTTGGAAATATCAGGTAACTATAAGCAGATTTGACTTGGCTTTATTAGTTGCTCGAACCATTGCTTGAATGGAGCACAGTGTCTTAGTGGTACCTATTGTGTAGATCAGTATGGTCCAGAACTTTCTGTGATGATGGAAACGTTCTGTGCTGTGCAGTTGGGATGCTACCTAACCGTGGCCATTGAGCATATGAGATCTAGGGCTAGAAATGTACTTTTATTTAAATAACCACATGTGCTTAGTGTATTGGCCAGTAAGGCCTAGTTGAAGGATTTGACAAGTGAAATAGGAACAGAGTTGCTAGGGCTGGCACAGACCCCCATGTGTACTGTGGGAACCCAGAGTAATGGGACTAGCCACACAGTAACGCCACCCTGATTCAGGTTTACTGACTGAATCTGAAGGAATAATATATAGCCAGAGAGACCCCTGTTGAAAATACTATCCAAGACCTTGAAGTAGGGGACGGTGGCAAGAGCCAGCTGGGAGAAAATGTCTGGGCTGGTGAGGGGATTCCCAGCTCTCTCAGCTGGGCAACGAGAGGTTAATTTTTAGCCACAGAACTTCCTTTTTCAAATGGAAACTTCCACAGAACCCTACTATCAATTGTTGTAACTTGGAGCTCTGAGTTCGAGGCAGGGGTGGACACTCAGTGGCTGTGCCTCTGCGGTCCTAGAAATGGTAACAGGAAATTCTTCATCCCTTAAAAATCTCTCTCCAAGCTGCAGCAGGTCTTGAAATCAGTAATGAAGCTTCATGTTTGTTTGAAACAAATTTATTCTCAGAATAATGCACAAAAGTAGAGGTTGAGGCTACCTTTGGGAGGCTTCCCCCCCTCCTCTCTGGCTGCCCGGGAGAACAGAGCTGAAGGAAACATGCAATCACAAACAATGATCAACTCGAAAGACAAAAAAGGTTTGGTCCAAAAGAACTCAACATAATTAATCCAATTACTGTGAAGAGCTTCACTGAGTAGGATTAAGATCTCGCAGATGTAGTGTTTCCACAGCGTGGCTCTTCAGTGCACCAAGGGGGCCTGCTTGAGGGAGATGAGGACAGAGCGCATGCGGGAGACGTCTTTGGCCTGCTTGCTGGACTTGGGGTTAAAGTCACAGAGCCGGGCCACCCGTTCCCACTCAGTGCCTGGGGACGACTCGTCTATGTCGTTTACAAAGGCTTCTTCTGCTGCCCTGGAAGCAACAACACAGTATGTTGGTTTAACGCAGAATCCCCCCCGTGAGCTACCTGGCGGCTGCCTTGTGACAGAAGTGACTGCCTCTTCATGCCTGACTTCCTGGCGTTCTGGTTTTCCAAAGAGGAACAGCCCCTGGCTCAGGTCAGACTCGGGAGCAGACCTGTGGCCAGTTCTCCTAGGCACAGGGTGCCCGGACCGCTGTGTAAAATGTTGGAATACAGGTGTTTGGTTCAGGGCTCACTCTCTGTCAGTACAGAGCGTTAGAAAAGCAAGTCCTTAGCCAGCTATGCACTGCCTTCAGCAACAGGAGCAAAGCAGCAGGCCGGTCAGGAATGTGCACAGGAGTTGATGGCGGGCTCTACTGAGGTTCAAGTGAATTGAGAGGCTTCTCAAAAGCCCACTGCTCATTGCACGATAGCCTCTGGATTTATTCCTAAGACCGTAGAGAAACAGGGCAAATCAAAAGGAATTCAAGACACAGCTCCCATGCGAGCAGGCACTAGAGACTAAAGCCATTCTGGAAGGGTGTTTGTTAGGACATTCTCCAGTTGAGCTGCAAGTTGGCCATTTTCCCTCCAGCCAGGTGCCTTGGGCCACTCAGGGCACGCTCTGGAAGGGCTGGGTGCCCAATGGCTAAAGAGCCCATCAGTGTTAGCTGCTTTTGGGTAGGAGGCTGCTCCAACATTCTTTCCCATCAAGGTCAGCCCACCCCCAGCTGGGAACTGGTGGGAGCTACAGCCTGAAAGGACAGCGGAAAGAGGCGGGAAGACACACTATATTCATCTACTCCAGCAAGCATCACGGGCGAAGCGAAAGCGATGGAGATGACCGGTCTGTGGGGACGGAGGGGTGGCACGCTCACAAGGATGGCCGTGGCAAACACTGCTGCAGCCCGAGCCACTACAACACTGCGACTTCATGGCACACACACGGGCAGTGAGAAAGGTTTACTTAACTGTTCTAGGCTGTAGCAAGGATGGTTTATGTTTGTGCTTAAAGGTGAAGAGAAGAAAAACGAGAGAAACTTTAGGTCAGATATAGAAAATGAGAATGAGCTCAATGCAGATGGTCAGTAAGCTAGACATGCCCTTGCCACTCCATCTACACCTGGGAACGTGCAGCTGGCTTTGCTGGGCCACCCTGCTGCCCAGCAAACCCAGACTCGACCTTTCCAGTCTCCAGTTCTACTCCAGAGAGAATGTGCAAAAATCAATCCAACAGCACCTGTAAGTCCAGCATTTCACAAATCTCATTGCAAATGCATCTGGGGACCCAGGAAACCCCGCTCTGTATTCTAAAGGGATGAACATGTTGAGGTCACAGGCCCTAAGATAAGATGCTCTACAGACATGAACCTGTCGTCCACCCTTCCCGCCTATGGTCCTTCCTTCTACCCTCATCTCCCTTACATCAAAATGGAGTCCTAATTTTTGAGGAAACAGCAAGCATTGTTTCCAAGTCGTCTTCAGCAATACTGCTTTGAATACAAGAGTCCATTGTTTTTCCAGAGAAGATGCAGTTTTCTTTGGGGGAAAAAGCCATCGTGGCCTATCAGACAGCTTTGGCTATCCCGACCTTAAAAAGCTGGGGCTTCTTTGTGCCAAAGTGGGCAATTTCCCACATCAATAGAGAAACACAGGATTCCTCCCCACCGCCCCCCATGAGACAACCTCCTCTGCTCCCAAGGGAGAAGCAACCAACCCCACATGTTCTTCAAAAGGACCAAATGTAGAAAGTGCTGCCCCACCCTGGCTCCCAAGCAGGGGGCAGCAGTGGTGGCCAGCAACAGCTTACGAGCCCACCCCAGTCCCAAAGCCTTCCCCAACCAGGTCACAAATGACCCACACTTTAAAAGGGAATCCACTTCCTTCCCTCCAAAACCCCAAATGTGGAAAAAAGGCCCTCAGAGTTAAAGGGAGTCACGCTTCTACACGACAATCGATGGATCATATCCCCAACCTTCTAACTCTTAGGCAGTCCCCAGAGTGCCAGTTTGAAATAATTTAGAAAGCAGAACAACTTGTGACATAACAGGAGCATTAACTCTACACAAAAAGAATCAAAACAGGAAAAAGAATTAGTTTTGCAACATACACATAACCAATCACGTCAGCGAAGGGTTGTTTGTAGAAAGCTTCATCTGCCACCCTAGACAGCAAGAGGTCCAAAAGGCAGGCAAGCAGGCAGGAAAAAAGAGAGAACATTGAGAAGCAGAAACATCTCAAATCCATAATAGAGGCACGACTGTGCTCTGGGGCGCTGCTCCCAAGGCTGAGTGCTCACCCAGGGAGGCTTCAATTCAAGCGCTGGAGACTCCAGCAGGCAAGGTTCCCCATGGGCCTACCCCCGGGGATTCTCCCGGGTGAGCCCTGCCAAGCCCTTCCCGGCGTCATCCCTGCCACAGCGAGCAGGTCTCGGCACCCACTTCCAGGGAAGCCCTTGTAGAGCTACTGCGTCCACTTGATCCAATCCTCAACCCCAGCAACCTAGGGCACCGTGTTCTCATCGACACTTTACAGGTAACAGGAGGCCTGGACAGGAAGCCCCTTGCTCAACCCCAGGTGGCAGCAGAACTCCCAAGCAAGCCTGCCTGGCTCTTTTCACCAGACAGTAATGCTGCCCCCCAGCTGGCGGGTGCTCAGGAAGCCAGGCCACCTTCCTGCAGCCTCCGGCAGGCTCACAAGGCATCACGCTACGCGCCAAAGCCACTTCTGTCTTGGATTTCCGACTCCTGCTTCCCCGCCCTGACTGAATAGGATCACTGTTCAGTCATCTGGGAACAGATGTGGTCATTTCAAAATCCCCACCTTAGAGGAAAAAGTTGCTGGACGCAAGTGGTCTGGTGCAAAGAACTGCAGCCAAGAGTCCTGGCTCTGGCTTCCTGTCTGTCCCTGAAGATGCTGGTCTGCTCAGTCCATGCCAGATGGGACTGCTGTCACAAGGTGCAGCCCAGGAACCAGACCTTCACTTAATCCTAACTCATACCATACATGGGTCAAAATGGCAGGCCTCTGGGACAAAAAGGAAAGCGGGGGGGGGGCATGCTGGGTGGAAGAGTTTCCAACTCAGGAGACAGGCTGGCTTAGACCTTATTGGCCCGGCCAGCCCACCACAACCACTGTGGGTGGGCAGGGAACCTCCCTCCAGTTTTACCCTGTCCTTCGCCAGGTTAGTTTGGGGCAGAGAAGTAGAAGGGACATTTTTAAGGATGATCATGCATGCTTATTAACCTAGGCTCCCTTATTTGAAGGGAAATTCTAGTAATTTTATTTCGGTTTATTTTTATTTAAACTCACACACAGCCTTCCTTCTTTCCCATTTTGGTTTATACATAGGTGGTGGTTTGTGGAAATTTAAAGAAAGCAAAAAGAACAGCCTGATTGTAACTCTTAAGTCAGCAGGGAAATAGTTGTTTGTGGAGAGAATGAGTGGGTGGGAAAGGAAAAGCAGGCCAGCTTGTAAACCCATAATCCTTTTAGTTTACACAAAGGGCTAAACGTAATCGATTTCAAAGAAAATAAAGGTTGAATGACTACGGTGCAAGGCATCACTAAGACAACAAAAGCTTGAATGGCAGGCTTCCACTCCTTTGCAGCTAGCCCCAAGACTATGGAACTGTCAGTGACAGCATAGCCCCATCCAGGTATAGACAGATGGAGCAAATGGGAAACCATGATCACCACAGGCGGCCCCTCTAGCTGTTTGTTTTTCACTCATCAGAGGGGCCTGAAAGCAGCAATCCTCAGGGAAGCCTGAGGGAAACGGGGGGGGAGGAGGAGGAACGTGGGCCTGACCACAGGGTGCTCAAGCAGTGACCCACATAAATAGCGCCCAGTGGGCGTGGAAAAAATATTTGCCATCACGGAGAATCAGGGGTTCCCCAAACTTTTATAAATCTTGAAAGATAAAAAGTTAGCACCAGAGCTCCCTGTAAAAGGGGTAATGTTTCTGTCACGGTTTGCAAGGGCACATGGTCTGGGGCTGGTCTCAGGTCCACACTGTTCTGACTGGCTCCCATGGAGTGTCCCCCACCCCCCAACAGGCTGTCACTAATCATTCACGGCTCTTGTGCAGCAATATTTGGGCCCCGAGTTGGGGTAAAAGGAAGGAGATGCTAACTGCAGAGGAACACCAGACTACAGATGCCATGAAGGCAAGATCTGCTGACTGTCATTCGCCCACTGCCCAGCACCATGCCCTGCACAGAGGTGCTTCTGAGGTTTTAGGTCAGGGCATCTGAAGGCAGGAGGCCTGATGATACACTCATAGTAACAGCCTTTGCTCCCCACCACATCTCTTCTCTCAAACTGCTTGCTCTGCCTTAGCTCTGTAGGCCACTTAAACATCCAGCTGCTGCACAAGTCATCCAGAGGAAGACCGATACTTGAAAGGAGCACTCTGTTTTCTCCTGAGATTCACTATTTACCTATAGACAGCTCTTTTACATATATAAAAGGACTTACTCCTTTAGTCCCATGGGACGCCATTTAGAGAGTCAAACATGGAGGGGGAGTGGTCAGCGATGTCAAAATCTCCAGGGGAGGGGCTGTACCATTGGAAGGAGTCCCCCACGGTTGCTCTAAATGGCTCCTGCCCCAGCCCACGAAGAGTAAGTGGGATAAAGCGTCAAAACCATCCCTTCTCTCCTGGAACCCTGGTGACAAAGGCCAGTGTGCCACTAGTTTGACACGGAGTCTGCCCTATGCCTCAAGGTTTCTGCAAGGCAAGGGACCTGGTTTGGGAAAAGCTGTGCATTCTCTGTGAGTGGCAAGTGTAAGTCTCTTCCCCTGTCTGGAACTTGGGAGGTTCATCTATGAGACCATCCAACTCAACATTCTACAGTTCTAAGAAAGGTACCAAAGCCCTAAATCCAGGCCTGGAGGGACTAAACCTTAGAGACTGAGCTCCTTAAAACAGGTGTGCTTATTCGCTCCAAGGACAACGGATGCTGTATAGAGACAGCTCCTTTCTTTACAGAAGGGATACAGTTTAGCAAAACTGCATTAGAAGCCTATTCCTGACAGGCATTTTTTTAAGTCTGAGAATCTATATGTCACCCTGTTTACCTATCAGGGATCCTGAACAGGGAGGGTCAGCCTGGTTTTACCAAGTACTTCAGGGCAGAATGACTCATGGGCAACTTGCTAGGATCAAGGGGGCCTCACACAGGGCTTGCACAAAGCACCCACTCATCTCCCTTTAGAGATCTGAACTTGTACCTGGGGTCAGTCATCTTGAAGGAGCAGAGAATAAAGCAGCTTGGATCTGTCAGCACTTGAAACTGATCACAAGCTCAGGAGAAGCCCTGGTAGCAAATGCTCCCCCAAGCAACTCGACACCAAGAGCGGAGAGCAGTCCCCACCATACTTCTTACAGAGCTTCCCCTGTAATTGGAGAATACGTCCCCCAGTGGACACAGGCTCCAGCCTGCCATCTGAGGGGCAGCTGACAACCCAGGCTGGCCAGCCAGAGACCGGTAGCTGAAGCCTACCGCCCAGAACAGTCCATCTCTTCTGCTATCGTTGCCCTCCAATAAACAACACACTCTGGCTGGCAAAGCAGTCCATTCCCTCTTCGCTGACACATTTCCAAGAGCTACCAGAGGCAAGAGCACTTAAACCAACTTCTGCCTCTGAGGGCAGGAACCTATGGCTCTTTGCCCTGAAAATTACAAACACCCCCGGCTCAGTCTAGCCTTTCTTTCCAGTGAGGTAGTGGAGTGACCACGGAGTGAGAGTTGGGCTCTGAATCCAGCAGGGCAGGCGAGCCACTGGTCTCCATCAGGGCCAGCAGCACTGCCTCTACCTTTCTCTGAGCTACTTCCAAGTGGACTTCAAGCGTGGAGTAGTCCAGACCGCAGATGCTGGTCAGTGGGGGTAGGAGAATGAACTTGGTTTCTCCCCAAAACTACTTCACCTTCCGTGAGTGAGTCCGTTCTGAAGAGCATTTTAAAAAAGTCAACTCAGGTTTTTCCTAGACACAGAAGTACCCAGAGAATCCTTAATTCTGAAGTCACCATGTTGGAACATCCTTGGCTACCTAATTACACACCCGGTTCCTGCTACCAGACCCCTTTGTAAAGCAGCTTTCAGAGGGCAGGGTTGTATTTAGGGGATGCAGCATGACCAAGTCTATAATCATCTCGAAAGTACTGAGATCCTGGTCTGTTCATGAAAGTGGCCCTTCATTTCAGGGTTACATTTCCACATGTGGATTTGATCCATGAAATAACCTTCCCTTTTGCCGTTTCATACTATTACAAGCAATACAGATTAACCGAACTCTTCGCTGAAGAGCTAAAGTCACTACAACTGGGGTGGCTAAAGGAAAGGCTGAATTAGGCTCCCAAGACCCAAGAGATTTGCAACCTTTATGTTTCAAGTACTTTTTCCAAAACCTGCAGAGACACTTCATACTACAACGGGCAGCACATGTCAGAACTATTCTGGCCGTCAGAAATGAATGTGATTCAACCTTGGAGAACAAGCGGTGCCAGCAGCCCCGGGGACTGACCTGTTGTTTGCTTTTGTTTTCTGTAGCTGCTCGTCCTGCCTCGCATACCACTCTTCTAGCTCCTTTATTGCTTTTTCTTTCCACTCTGCTTCTTGCTTCCGAGAATTGGCATCTTTGAAGGGAAGGAAAAGAAACACAAATGAAGCAAAACACAAACTGAAGTTTGCTCCATCAATGTCTTTTGGTCTTATTAAACTTACGGTGTGTGTGTGTATATGTGTGTGTGTTGGAGGGATAATAATCAGAAGGGAAGAAAAAGTTCTATTTCCCTATTTGTACATCCAGTCTCTGATCCCAGTTGTTTGACATTCTCTCTCAGTCCACTGACATCTTAGTGGATTCACCAGTTTTGGGGTTTCTTTTCAGGGTAGGGGAGAGGAGGATACATAGATAAAAGCCTTCGGGGGCACCAACTAGGGAAAAAGCAGTTAGAGTTTTGTTTTTTTTTTAAGATTTGAGAGAGCGCATACGCACAAGAGTGGGGGGTTGGGGGGGGCAGAGGGAGAGGAAGTCTTAAGCAGACTCTGCCCTGAGTGTGGAACTCAACTCGGGGCTCAATCCCAGGACCCTGAGATCACCGGCTAAAATCAAGAATCAGGTGCTCCACCGACTGAGCTACCCAGACGCCCAGGAGAATTCTTTAATAATTATGCTGCCAATATTAGTTCAGGGTGGACCGTTGATATTAGATAATCTTTGAACAGAATCTTCTTAGAAAATGTAAGACCCCAACTCTGCCAGTCGATGGTTTTGTAAAACACAACGTGGCACTCTCTTAACTGAACATGGTAGAAGCACTTCTATGAAGCAGAAAACTATTGTTAAAATTACCAGAGGTAGAGAGGATTCAGGTACCAGGGAACAGAACATAGATGTTAAAAGTTGAGGGGGACCACAAAACATCTATTCCTGCTTAGACTGCAGAGTGAGTTTGTGGCAGAACTAGGACAGAACTAAAGAAGCTCTAACGGAGAGGACTGCAGGGGGTTGAGGTGGGGTGGCAGAATCATTAGCAGTTATCCAGAAGGTTCTAGAATGAGAGAGAAAACAAACTTAGCAAGTTTGCCAGACTGGATTTTCAAATATGACAACTAGCTAAGAAGACCAAGTCAACAGATAGGAAGAGACAGAAATGCACGTCATAGCTACCGCTGCAGGTGACATGTGAAGTTACCCTGAGATTTCACCTGAAACACATTCTTAAGCATCCTCTCCGGCAGATGTTTTGTAACAGACCTCTCCCTTTAATCTTTACAACAATCCCGAGAAGGTAAACTCTAGACCCATACTCAGCACTGAGAAAAACTATAGCTCAGAAAGTTTGAGTAACCTTTCCTGAAGTAAGTAGCAGAGCTAAGATTCAAACCCAGGTCTGACTCTGAAGCTTACACATTCTTTCTTCATTAAGCTGCCTCCGAAGGGAGGGATGGAAAGGAAAACCTAGACAATCACAAGATGTGACTAGAAGGTGGTCACCAGTGATCCAGACAAGAGTCGGGACAGCGCAGAGCCAGAGCCCAACCTGTAACTAGCTCGCATCCCGGAGGAGTACAAAGCAGTGGTGGTGGCGGCGAGTGAAGGGAAGAAATGAAGCACTTTAGGGCATTTTTAGGTCCTTTCCAAGAATGTCTTACAGTAGCAACCTGCAGAAGGCTGTGTCTGTAACTACTGGAAATAGCTTGTTAGCAGCTAGAAACTCCCCCCAGAGTTTCAGATGATAAAGAACCTGTTACCCTGTTATTTAACTTATCAGAAGGTGACCTATCAATTTTTTTTTTTGAGAGATGGGGGGGGACCCACAAAGGGAGAGAGGGAGAGTCTTGAGGCTTCACACCCAGCATGGAGCCCAACATGGGGCTCAATCTCACAACCCTGAGATCATGACCTGAGCCACCCAGGCGCCCCACTCAGAATTCTTTTACTCAGATTTCCACTGATGAGTCAAGTCTATACAGCAGACTTCTAGTATGTGTCCGTGGCATTAAGTAGAAGTGGAATGGAGGGCACTAGGATGGGGCGGGAGATGCTGTGGGCTGGCAGCGCATGTGGACAAGAAACCGAAAAATATTAAGGTTAAAATCTCCTTTTCAAGAGTGGTGAAATCACTTCTGAAACACTACTTTTTGATTGGAGAGTATTTCCTTTCTTTGTAAAGATTTTTTTAAAGTTTTAATATACTAGGAATAAAATAGCACAGAAATTTATCTCTGAAAAATTAATCTGAATAAAAATTGTAACCATCTGCACAGATTGTAGTTACTGCATAAAACCATCCCTTTAAATTGTCTTCTTGCTTTTATAGATTTTTGAAAAAAGTGACACTGGCAATAAGAATTTAGAATTCTGGGACATCTGGGTAGCTCAGTTGGTTAAGCGTGTGCCTTCGGCTCAGGTCATGATCCCAGGGTCCTGGGATTGAGCCCTGCATCGGGCTCCCTACTCAGCGGGAAGCCTGCTTCTCCCTCTCCCTCTGCTGTTCCCCCCTGCCCCCTGCTTGTGCTATCTCCGTCTCTCTCAAAATCTTTAAAAAAAAAAAAAGTAATTTAGAGTTCTTAAATGCTTAGCTCAGTAGGACAAAGATCCAAGCGACAATATGATCTGCATCTGGGCATAAGAGGGAGGGAGGGAAGGCTGAAGAGTCCCCTTGGAGAGCAGGGCACACTGATAGCCATCTTCTTGGGCAGTCCTTCTTACTGTCCATGGAAAAGAAAACTCTGAGAACGCAGTCACCAGCTAAGCTGAAAACCACGCACACTGGTTCTCTATATTTAGCATCTTGTGCTTTCTCACAGTTTTTGCAAAGAAAAAAAGAGGAAACTGAAGAAACACCTAGTTCACAGACCAATTTAATTCAATTGCAAAGCCAAATATTTGACTTCAGAAAAGCATCGTAAGAAAACACTTCATGGAATATTCCCAAAGTGCCCAATCTGATCACTGAAGGGGAGGCAATTTTCCCAGACACCAACATGACCAAAGTGTATTGTCTCCATGGAGAAGATAACTTTGCTAAACTTTGGGTAAAGAGAAAAGATGAAAGTTGGGTTCTGTAACCTGACAAATACTAGTACCAGCGAAGTCCTGCTTCCGCCCGCTCAGAAGAGACACACCAGGAACAAGCCACGACTAAAGCTACCAGCATCTCATGAAGACAGTTTCCATCTTTGTAAAGCTGCGCTATCCAGTACAGAAGCTCCTAGCCACATGTGGCTACTTATTAAAATTAAAAATTCTTTCCCAGTCATACTAGTCACATTTCAAGTGCTTAAGAGCCCCACGTGGCTAGTGGCTACCATACGGGACAGCACAGATCTGTGATACTTCCATCCAAGAAATGCTAGCAGAGAGTGCCATAAAGGGTCAAACAGAAGTGTGCCCTTTGTTCTGAGAGCCACATAAAACTGGGCTGGAAAGAGAACCGATTTGGCACTAACTGGGTCCTACTTCTAGGGGTCAGTTAACGCTATTTGAAAAACAAGGAGTCAGTTTTTACTAATTCAGTGGTTCCCATGAAGGACTAATAATGCTGACGTCGTTGGTACACAGAAGAACATCGTTATTTCCAGATATACAATAAAATATTTAAGCATGAAAGAGAGGATCTGAAAGTGGATGAGAAATGTGTATGTATAAAACATATACATACATACATGCTTCATTTACATAAAGATAACCCAATATGGCAATAAGAATTTAGAATTCTGGGACATCTGGGTAGCTCAGTTGGTTAAGCGTGTGCCTTCGGCTCAGGTCATGATCCCAGGGTCCTGGGATTCAGTTAATCACTGAATCTAAGGGGGTGCACACAAGTTCATTTTACTCTTAACTATTTGGTTTGAAATTTTATTTCAAGTTTTATTAAGTAATCTCTACACCCAATGTGGGGCTTGAACTCACAACCCCAAGATCAAGAGTTGCACGCTCTACCAACTGAGCCAGCCAGGCACCCGTGTTTGAAATTTTAATAAAAAGCTGAGGAAAGAATACCCCATGGCTTTATCTCCACACGGTGCCATACCTCTGCAACCCACCTACATACAGATACCAAGTCTCCTGACCTTGACCAAAAGCAACAGCCCACGTACACAGTTCTTCACCAAAGGCCAGGCCAGGCCGGCTGGCACTGATCTCGGCGGGACGGCGTACACGACATGCACGGTGGCTGGTGGATGGAGGGGTACGGGCTATGAAGCAGGGCGGACGTAAGCTGAGTTCTGACGCTACTGCTTCTTAGCTGTGTGATTCAAAAACTTGTTCGAGGAGTCTCACTTTCCTCACTTACAAAAACATACAAACTTAGCTTACAGGGATATTAGAGTAGGAAAATCAAATTGTACATGTTTCCTAACATACTTCACATTTTCTTCTTAAAGCGTTACCTTAAATTCAGCCTAGAAACGATAAATGGACTTTGAAGTCTCTTACCCGGAGACCTTCAAGTTCACACAACACTCTCATAAACACCATCTCAGACGAACCGTGGAGTTGGTAACACTGATCTTACCCCACAGACAAAGAAACAAACTCTACAAGGTTTCAACCACCAAGTGCCCACAGCTGGGAAGAGTTAAGGCTGGGCCTTGAACCTACTCTTTCTTCGCTGCAAGCTCAGGACTCTCCTCTGCTCTGCTCTTCCTGAGAGGATGCACTTGGTGGTGGCTCTCTGAGCTGCCCTATTCCTCACAAAATGGCCTGTAATTAAGCATCTCCCTGTGGGTGGCCTTGTGACCCCTCAGGCTGAGGAAGGGATCTTCCCAAATACTAGACGAGGACATTATGGCTAATTCCAGTTAAAAAGAGCTAAGAGTCAAGGTCAACTATTCCATTGAAAATAAGACACCCAAAGACAGAAAAAGATTCCTTACCAAGGGCTTCCAAGCGTTCCGTTTGCTCTTCTCTCCATTTACGGATACTTTCAGGCTCTGATTGCAATCGATCCACTTGTGAAATAGCTGCGTAACTGTCTGTTGGACCATTACTCTCCTTAACACAAAAACAATTGTGTTCTATCAGTACCAAACACGCCTTCCTGAAATGCGCTTCATACACGGTAGAACACCCCTGGTTATGTACTGACGGCCACTTTAACATGTTAAAGGATTACCTTAAAAGCAACAACACAACCTTACATGCTCATAGGGAGCTCTCAACATTACTGCACCTAATCCTTACAATCCACAAGGGAGGCAGAGTAGTTGTTAGCCTGCCTGTTAATAACTGGGACAGAAGTGGGAGAGAGGAAAGCAGGGGAGGTGGGTCATGGACTGACTAGGAAACAGTGTTAATGGTTTTAGTTTCCTCACTTGACACACAGCTTATGTGGGATCTTCAAAGTAACAAAGGTAAATACACTGCACAGCAAAGCCTAGAACCTAAAACTTCTAAATGCTATTACATAATGCAGGAAAAAGCACTTAATATCACCTAACCAAAATAGGTGAATTCTGGGTAAAAAGGAGTCCAAAAGAAAACATGCAGTCACTAGTCACACCAAGGAAAAGAATAAAAAGGCAAGCAAATAGGAGTCACAAGTCGGGGGGGGGGAGTGCGGGGCAGATTCTTCATAGTGGGTAAGGTCTGACAGCTAATAAACTGATAAAACTCAACTATAATTTAATCTTTAGAAAATTTTTCACCTGCTGAACTAGGGAATAAACTCCAGGTTCACCTAATCAGACTATAAAAAGATGGAAGAATTACTGAAAGTATTAGTAACTAACTTATTGACACTTTCAATGTGTCAGGCACATAAAATTTATCTCCCAAGCAACTTGCAAAGTTTTGATTCTCATTTCACATTTGATAGAGGACTAACCTGAGGCACAGAGAAATGACATGTCCAATTCACAGCTAGTAAGAGGTAGAGCCAGGTTCTGAACCCCATTCTGTCTCACTCTAAGGGCTAAACTCTAAACCAGGCACTGGAAACTAGAGTCCAGGCCAGCTGCCTGTTTTTGTAATTAAATTCTACTGGAACCTGCCAGGTGCATTCATTCATGTACTGTCTGTGGATGCTTTCACATCACAGCAAGAGTAGTTTGACACATACACACACACACA